GAACCTAACGCTAATAAAATACAAGCAGCAGAGTGGGTACAAGTCAGGATGGCCGAGCGGTCTAAGGCGCTGCGTTCAGGTCGCAGTCTACTTCTGTAGGCGTGGGTTCAAATCCCACTTCTGACAATACTTTTTTCTATTTTAAATTTTGCAGTTGAGTAATAATATAGGGGACGGCGTGGTGAGTGGTAGAGCATTGGGTTGCTAACCCGAAGGTTTCCAGTTCGGATCTAGATTGGGATTCTTAGAGTTCATCAAGCCCTCTTGTGATTTACGTTGGGGAAAGTAAAAGTAGCAAGGTATAGTGTCAAGAAACATTAACTCTACTTCATCTGTCTGCCCAACATAACTTAATATCAATTTAGATTCTTTCAGATATCCCTCAATGCATGTGTCAACTTTTTGAGTAAAACGATCATGTCTATTTTCGACTGTCATTCATTAACGTTCAGGTTCTCAATATCTAATTAAGGTTCAATTATCAACATCTAATTAAGGTTCAATTATCAACATCTAATTAAGGTTCAATTATCAACATCTAAATTTTTTTCATCAAGCCCGAAAGCTCGAGATTTTTTAATGCATCACATTTATCAAATGAGCAACACCAATCACCAATAGGTTTTGTGTTGATCGGGTAAGCTTCAGCAATCTGTTATGGTGTGTTTACACGGCACTCCATCACAGCATTAGTGACCAATTCTTCCGTAAACAGGACGCCGAGAGGTTGAAAAACACGTTATCTGGGTTTATTCTGGTATTTAAATCTAGGTTCAGATTTTTTTTTTGGAACAAGTTACTGAATGTTACACTCAGCTGAGGCCAGCAACTTGACTCATGTTTGGGTTTTCCAAAAATAAATAAAATAAATCTTGATACACACAGCCAAAATTGTGGCTAAAAAATGAAGATGTGGAAAAATCTGACCAGTTACAAGATGGCGTCTGATTAATGTCTTAGATACAGGTGACAGGAGGGGAGGGTAAGGTGGATAACAAGAGAAGGCTGCAATGTGCACAGAAACATTATACACAACAACACAGATACATTACACACAACAACACAGATAAATTATACACAACACAGATACATTACACACAACACAGATACATTACACACAACACAGATACATTATACCCAACAACACAGATACATTACACACAACACAGATACATTATACCCAACAACACAGATACATTATACACAACTGGGCAGCTTGGAGAGTTAATATTTTTTTGCCTCCGGGGGTGTAGGCTATGTAGGTTGCCAATTTGTGTCTGTAGGTTGCCAATTTGTGTCTGTAGGTTGCCAATTTGTGTCTGTAGGTTGCCAATTTGTGTCTGTAGGTTGCCAATTTGTGTCTGTAGGTTGCCAATTTGTGTCTGTAGGTTGCCAATTTGTGTCTGTAGGTTGCCAATTTGTGTATGTAGGTTGACGATTACTTTTTTGTCTTTCTGTATGTGGCAGGTAACTTCCTGCAGTTTTAATGCCAGTCTGTGTCTCTGGGTTTCCTTACTCAATTAGGATACACAGAGTATCATTCAAACATTAGGATACACAGAGTATCATTCAAACATTAGGATACACAGTGTATCATTCAAACATTAGGATACACAGAGTATCATTCAAACATTAGGATACACAGAGTATCATTCAAACATTAGGATACACAGTGTATCATTCAATCATTAGGATACACAGTGTATCATTCAAACATTAGGATACACAGTGTATCATTCAAACATTAGGATACACAGTGTATCATTCAAACATTAGGATACACAGTGTATCATTCAAACATTAGGATACACAGTGTATCATTCAAACATTAGGATACACAGTGTATCATTCAAACATTAGGATACACAGTGTATCATTCAAACATTAGGATACACAGTGTATCATTCAAACATTAGGATACATAGTGTATCATTCAAACATTAGGATACACAGTGTATCATTCAAACATTAGGATAGAGAGCATCAAACAGTTTTCTCGGGGGGGGGGGGGGGGGACGGACACTCGTACAAGTCTGTATACATTTTTTATATATTGTCTATACAAGGGGTTGGCCGGGTTGGGTCGGTAAAGTCCCAGTTCGAACCCCCGACCAGATGAGGCTCGACAGCTGGGGACAGCAACCCATCAAACAAATTCACACATTATAGTTTGTGTTTTGTTAGAAAAACACACACCTTGTAGTTTGTTTTGTTAGACAAAAGCTACTGAAACTAATGCAGAAAAAAAGAAGGCTAAAATTGGAGTCGACGGCCACAAGGCGCATAACAGGTTGGCAGGTAATAATTAGTTGTCTAGAATCCCGTCCAGCATTACAACTAAGAACGAAGGAAAAATAGACTACTTGATTTATATTTTGTCTATTTCCTCCCGGGGGGGGGGGGGAAGTACGGCAAGTATCGGAATGTTCAGATTTATCGACATTATATTACAATATCAATACTGAATTTTATTTTACTTTAGAAAATAGTTCTTAAATATAAAGTACAACAGTACTATACACCACAGTGAACAAAACGTATCAATTTTCTGTTCACCTAACTCTCGACGTTCTTGCAAACAATGGGTTTTTTTTAAAAATAATCTGTGAAAAATGACATTGTTTGTCTTGAATTTTGAAAGACAAAATTATTTTTTGAAAAAAAAAATGTCTAGCTTTGACCAGTCCAAACTGTGGGCCACTAAACTGTTGAGTAGGACGGCTTGACCTCTAGCGAGATTAGCCCAGCCGTAGAAGGGCTTGTTTACTAGTAACTCTATCTAGAGCCGCCATTTTGATGTTGTGTTCAGTGGGCGAGAAATGTCCTTGTCTGCTCCAAGTGTGCACCAAGTGTAGCCTTTAAACAGACAACATTTTCAAGATAACATTCAGCCTAAAAAAGTGCCCAACACATTTGAAACAAAACAAAGTATTTTGTTGTATACTTGTTCTGTGTGTTGTATGTTAGCTCACACGGACAAGGCGTGGTGCAAGTTGTTGTATGTTAGCTCACATGGACAAGGCGTGGTGCAAGTTGTTGTATGTTAGCTCACATGGACAAGGCGTGGTGCAAGTTGTTGTATGTTAGCTCACATGGACAAGGCGTGGTGCAAGTTGTTGTATGTTAGCTCACATGGACAAGGCGTGGTGCAAGTTGGTGTATGTTAGCTCACATGGACAAGGCGTGGTGCAAGTTGTTGTATGTTAGCTCACATGGACAAGGCGTGGTGCAAGTTGGTGTATGTTAGCTCACATGGACAAGGCGTGGTGCAAGTTGTTGTATGTTAGCTCACATGGACAAGGCGTGGTGCAAGTTGTTGTATGTTAGCTCACATGGACAAGGCGTGGTGCAAGTTGGTGTATGTTAGCTCACACGGACAAGGCGTGGTGCAAGTTGTTGTATGTTAGCTCACATGGACAAGGCGTGGTGCAAGTTGTTGTATGTTAGCTCACACGGACAAGACGTGGTGCAAGTTGTTGTATGTTAGCTCACATGGACAAGGCGTGGTGCAAGTTGTTGTATGTTAGCTCACATGGACAAGGCGTGGTGCAAGTTGGTGTATGTTAGCTCACACGGACAAGACGTGGTGCAAGTTGTTGTATGTTAGCTCACACGGACAAGACGTGGTGCAAGTTGTTGTATGGTAATTTAGAACAAACAACAAAATACTGGAGTCAATGTAAAACTTTATTACAAAAAGATTTTTGTAACAATGCCAACTTTCTACTAAATATATCACAAGCAAGTAGATGGTGATACGTTGTGGTGACAATATAAACAGCGGACAGCAGGGGGCATGACAACAATAGTGGACAGCACAGGGCATAAGACACAGTGGACAGCACAAGGCATGACAACAATATTGGACAGCACAGGGCATGACAACAATAGTGGACAGCACAAGGCATGACAACAATATTGGACAGCACAAGGCATGACAACAATAGTGGACAGCACAGGGCATGACAACAATAGGGACAGCACAAGGCATAAGACACAGTGGACAGTACTGGGCATGACAACAATAGTGGACAACACAGGGCATGACAACAATAGTGGACAGCACAAGGCATGACAACAATAGTGGACAGCACAGGGCATGACAACAATAGTGGACAGCACAAGGCATGACAACAATAGTGGACAGCACAAGGCATGACAACAATAGTGGACAGCAGGGGGCATAAGATACAGTGGACAGCACAAGGCATGACAACAATATTGGACAGCACAGGGCATGAAGAAAATAGTGGACAGCACAGGGAATGACACAGTGGATATCAAATGTCAAGAGACACATATGTGAATATGGCACAAGATCTGACTTACAAACATGACACACAGACACAAGTCATGAAACCTATCTCATGTTCTACCCATGGCAAATCACAAACCCTAACCTGAACCCAAGTTACACACTAGAAGAAAATTTAACACTGATATCAAAACCCATCTTGAACCCATTATTCACTAAAAAATTACTAGCAACACAAGAATAATTTGTTAAAAGCACTGCTCTCAATTTGACCAACATCTGGATTGAAAAAATATGACTGATAAAATCAATAAAGTCAACCTACTATTTTAAAAATATGAGTGGTACAATCTATTAAAGAGAATCTACTATTTTATAAAATGAACAAGCAAAGTGCAATATAAAGAAAGTTAAAAGCAAATGCAAAACATCTCAAGTTTTTAATAAATCCAGAGTTTATCATAAACCAATAGTTTCCAGTTGTTTTAACTGTGTGTTTTTACAAACCAATATTTTTTATTCATACTAGCTGGTCTGGGTGTAAACCAAGCCAAGAGAATAAATCTTTAATATTTGATAACAGCCAGGATATTAAAGGTTAACATTTGACAGGACAAAAAATAAATTTCTCTTTAAAAATTTCTTCTCTAGCAAAGGTAGGCCTACAATCAAATTAGATCTAATATTATGCTTTAATTATTTGTTTTTGTTTATTATTTAAGTAGCCTGCTATGATTTTATAAAAAATAATTAAAAAGTTGAAAAAAGAAGAAGAAAATGATTGAAATAACGTGTAGCAATGACTGGGATGATGTATGTGAAGTAACCTTTGACCTGGAAACTGTTTTTATTTCTGTCACATTTAAATGTTGGATTATACAATAAACATGAAACAACAGGTAAAAAAAAATTCCCTCAAATTTATCAATGACCCACAAAGTATTGGAACATGAAAAATATGGAACAACAGACCTGCAAACCTTATCTGGTTGATATTACATCCAGAGCTGGTGGCAAATCTCAAACCAAATTTGAAAAAAACAACCAAGTAGTGTCTCAAGTTCAATGAACTGCTCCACCAACAGCATGATTCAGTTACAATGTCACAGCTAAACTAACATCAAAACTGTCCTCCTAGCTAAATGTCCTAGTTAATTTTCCTCCTAGCTAAATGTCCTAGTTAATTTTCCTCCTAGCTAAATGTCCTAGTTAATTTTCCTCCTAGCTAAATGTCCTAGTTAATTTTCCTCCTAGCTAAATGTCCTCCTAGTTAGAACCTCCTCCCAGTTAAATATCCACCCATCTAAGATATCCAAACTATACTTCCTCACAGATAAATTTTCCTTTCTACTTTTTTACCAGAATGTCCTACTATCTAAATGTCCTACTATCTAAATGTCCTACTATCTAAATGTCTTCCCATTAAATGTCCTCCCTATTAAAATGTTAAAAGATATGGTCCCAGTTTAAATATGCTTCCCGATAAATGTCCTCCCTACTACTATGTCCTCCCAGATAAAATGTCCTCCCAGCTAAGATATGCTCCCAGCCTCCTCCTCCAACTGCTGCAGGATCTCCCTCTCCAGCTCGTCGTTGCCAGCATCAGTGTCGTCACCCTCCCCTCCCACCAGCTCGTAGTCCTGCAGCTCCTGCTGGAGTTCTCTCTCCCAGTCGTCACCTGCGGGGAGACAACTCCAGTCAACATATTACAGGGGGACAACTCTAGTCAACATATTGCAGGGGGACAACTCATGTCAACACAATACAGGGGGACAACTCCAGTCAGCACATTACAGGGGGACAACTCCAGTCAGCACATTACAGGGGGACAACTCCAGTCAACAAATTACAGGGAGACAACTCCAGTCAGCACATTACAGGGGGACAACTCCAGTCAACACAATACAGGGGGACAACTCCAGTCAGCACATTACAGGGGGACAACTCCAGTCAACAAATTACAGGGAGACAACTCCAGTCAGCACATTACAGGGGGACAACTCCAGTCAACACAATACAGGGGGACAACTCCAGTCAGCACATTACAGGGGGACAACTCCAGTCAACACAATACAGGGGGACAACTCCAGTCAGCACATTACAGGGGGACAACTCCAGTCAACAAATTACAGGGAGACAACCCCAGTCAACACATTACAGGGGGACAACTCCAGTCAGCACATTACAGGGTGACAACTCCAGTCAGCACATTACAGGGGGACAACTCCAGTCAGCACATTACAGGGGGACAACTCCAGTCAGCCCATTACAGGGGGACAACTCCAGTCAACACATTACAGGGGGACAACTCCAGTCAACACATTACAGGGGGACAACTCCAGTCAACACATTACAGGGAGACAACTCCAGTCAGCACATTACAGGGGGACAACTCCAGTCAGCACATTACAGGGGGACAACTCCAGTCAACACATTACAGGGGGACAACTCCAGTCAACACATTACAGGGAGACAACTCCAGTCAGCACATTACAGGGGGACAACTCCAGTCAGCACATTACAGGGGGACAACTCCAGTCAACACATTACAGGGAGACAACCCCAGTCAGCACATTACAGGGGGACAACTCCAGTCAGCACATTACAGGGGGACAACTCCAGTCAACACATTACAGGGAGACAATCCCAGTCAGCACATTACAGGGGGACAACTCCAGTCAACACATTACAGGGGGACAACTCCAGTCAGCACATTACAGGGGGACAACTCCAGTCAACACATTACAGGGAGACAATCCCAGTCAGCACATTACAGGGGGACAACTCCAGTCAACACATTACAGGGGGACAACTCCAGTCAGCACATTACAGGGGGACAACTCCAGTCAGCACATTACAGGGGGACAACTCCAGTCAGCACATTACAGGGGGACAACTCCAGTCAGCACATTACAGGGGGACAAGTCCAGTCAACACATTACAGGGGGACAACTCCAGTCAGCACATTACAGGGGGACAACTCCAGTTAGCACATTACAGGGGGACAACTCCAGTCAGCACATTACAGGGGACAACTCCAGTCAGCACATTACAGGGGGACAACTCCAGTCAACATATTGCACAGGAAAGATAATAACTTTAGGAAACAATTTTGTTGAAAAGAAAAAAAAATCGATTATGTTGTTACACAAGTAATAATTTAATTTGAAAAAGTAATTGGATAAAAAAAATTAGATATTTAATATTTAGCTTTAACAATATTTACTAGATAAGATATTTTATTTTCATTTAAAATATTTATAAAGGATTAATACAGAAAAATGCAATGTACTTGAATTCAAACTCTAAGCACTGGCCATGCACTAATAAAGCTGATTAAGTAAGAATGTTAGGAACAGAGACGGTGTTATGTATAGTTGTACCAGCATCAGCCCATCACCGAGGTATGATACAGAGGTTCTCAAACTGCTATAGTCAGTGTTTCCTTCAAATAGACCCCCCCCCCCCCACCAATAATAGTGAACCATATGTTTTCTGCTGTGAGGCAAGTTTGAAGCCAAATATAAATGGTTGGGATCTGACCAAACAGAATAACGTTAGCCGGTGGGAAAACTTGCCCAACTTACAGCTGAGTGTGGGAACCTCTGTAAAAAATAAAACTGACCCTAGCTACAGAGGGGTGTGGGAACCTCTGTAAAAAATAAAACTGACCCTAGCTACAGAGGGGTGTGGGAACATTAAAGACGGATGACGGAATCTGTAGCTTAGACATGACGGCAGTTGTAGAGTCCCAGAGCAGAGCGGCAGTGTCAGGGTAAACATCCAAGGTGTGGACGGTACTTAGGCCAGACGTCTCTAGCTGACTAGTGGTTTCATTGCCCCACTGATCTCAAGGCTACTTGGCTCGCTACTTGGGGACAACATAGCACTGGCCATGTAACATAGCACTGGCCATGTAACATAGCACTGACATGGGACATGAAACAACTGTCTGTATGACCCCCCCCCCCCCACCTAACAGCTGTCTGTAGAACATATTAACCTAATCCAACTACCATCACCAGCTACCAACCAGTACAGACCTAAAGATGTGAGCTACGAAAGAATAAACCCCCTCCCCCCCACCACGACACACACAATGAAAGCAAAAAATCGATGTCCATTAGAGAGAACATAGAAAACTAAACAAAGATGGCTTCCTTCAGGTGGGAGTTGTCGGTCCGCTGTGATACTCCAGACGTTCATACGGGTTCCCTGTCAGGATCAGGGAACCACGGGGTGACATGGAACACAATAGCTGGGCCAAGAGGGAACATGTCAGCTGGGCCAAGAGGGAACATGTCAACTGGGCCAAGAGGGAACATGTCAGCTGGGCCAAGAGGGAACATGTCAGCTGGGCCAAGAGGGAACATGTCAGCTGGGCCAAGAGGGAACATGTCAGCTGGGCCAAGAGGGAACATGTCAACTGGGCCAAGAGGGAACATGTCGACTGGGCCAAGAGGGAACATGTCAGCTGGGCCAAGAGGGAACATGTCAACTGGGCCAAAAGGGAACATGTCAGCTGGGCCAAGAGGGAACATGTCAGCTGAGCCAAGAGGGAACATGTCAACTGGGCCAAGAGGGAACATGTCAGCTGGGTCAATGGGCCAAGAGGGAACATGTCAGCTGGGCCAAGAGGGAACATGTCAACTGGGCCAAGAGGGAACATGTCAGCTGGGTCAATGGGCCAAGAGGGAACATGTTAGCTGGGCCAAGAGGGAACATGCCAGCTGGGCCAAGAGGGAACATGTCAGCTGGGCCAAGAGGGAACATGTCAGCTGGGCCGAGAGGGAACATGTCAGCTGGGCCAAGAGGGAACATGTCAGCTGGGCCAAGAGGGAACATGTCAGCTGGGCCAAGAGGGAACATGTCAGCTGGGCCAAGAGGGAACATGTCAGCTGGGTCAATGGGCCAAGAGGGAACATGTCAGCTGGGCCAATGGGCCAAGAGGGAACATGTCAGCTGGGCCAAGAGGGAACATGTCAGCTGGGCCAAGAGGGAACATGTCAGCTGGGCCAAGAGGGAACATGTCAGCTGGGCCAAGAGGGAACATGTCAGCTGGGCCAAGAGGGAACATGTCAGCTGGGCCAAGAGGGAACATGTCAGCTGGGCCAAGAGGGAACATGTCAGCTGGGCCAAGAGGGAACATGTCAGCTGGGCCAAGAGGGAACATGCCAGCTGGGCCGAGAGGGAACATGTCAGCTGGGCCAAGAGGGAACATGTCAGCTGGGCCAATGGGCCAAGAGGGAACATGTCAGCTGGGCCAAGAGGGAACATGTCAGCTGGGCCAAGAGGGAACATGTCAGCTGTGCCAATGGGCCAAGAGGGAACATGTCAGCTGGGCCAAGAGGGAACATGTCAGCTGGGCCAAGAGGGAACATGTCAGCTGGGCCAAGAGGGAACATGTCAGCTGGGCCAAGAGGGAACATGTCAGCTGGGCCAAGAGGGAACATGTCAGCTGGGCCAAGAGGGAACATGTCAGCTGTGCCAATGGGCCAAGAGGGAACATGTCAGCTGGGCCAAGAGGGAACATGTCAGCTGGGCCAAGAGGGAACATGTCAGCTGGGCCAAGAGGGAACATGTCAGCTGGGCCAAGAGAGAACATGTCAGCTGGGCCAAGAGGGAACATGTCAGCTGGGCCAAGAGGGAACATGTCAGCTGGGCCTATGGGCCAAGAGGGAACATGTCAGCTGGGCCAAGAGGGAACATGTCAGCTGGGCCAAGAGGGAACATGTCAGCTGTGCCAATGGGCCAAGAGGGAACATGTCAGCTGGGCCAAGAGGGAACATGTCAGCTGGGCCAAGAGGGAACATGTCAGCTGGGCCAAGAGGGAACATGTCAGCTGGGCCAAGAGGGAACATGTCAGCTGGGCCAAGAGGGAACATGTCAGCTGGGCCAAGAGGGAACATGTCAGCTGGGCCAAGAGGGAACATGTCAGCTGGGCCAAGAGGGAACATGTCAGCTGGGCCAAGAGGGAACATGTCAGCTGGGCCAAGAGAGAACATGTCAGCTGGGCCAAGAGGGAACATGTCAGCTGGGCCAAGAGGGAACATGTCAGCTGGGCCTATGTGGAACAGAGAAAATGGACCCGAGACACACGATAAATGTCCACACCCCCATACAAACAAAATGTCCACACCCCCACACCCACAAAATGTCAATATGAACAAAGACGACAGGTTTGCTATTAATATCTATAGACAAAGGGAGATAATAATAGCGAGTAGGATGGGGAGCAGATAATTGTCTTGTCATTACTGCGGGAGTGGAGTCTACAAATACCAAAGTTACAGGTCAGCCTACAAGATTGCGTTAGTCTAAAGGATTTTTGTTTAAACTCAAGAGAATAATTACATCAGAACATTGCGTTAGTCTAAAGGATTTTTGTTTAAACTCAGAGAACAATTAAAGCTGAAAGAAATGTAGGATAGGTCTAGGTCACCGCGACCTTCCGGGACTGGGGTAAAATAAAACATGACATGACATGTCAACGCCTCTCTTCTGATTTGTCATGTACACTTCAGTTGGTCATGGACACTCCAGATGGTCATGTACACTCCGAGTGGTCATTGACACTCCAAGTGGTCATTGACACTCCAAGTGTGGTCATGGACACTCCAAGTGGTCATTGACACTCCAAGTGGTCATTGACACTCCAAGTGGTCATTGACACTCCATATACAATTCACAATAATAGTCTGTTACACGGCCATTGACACGGCCAGTAGGTAGTGGCCAGTATGTTTAACCAATCGTGATGTACACGTCAACACTTGACAACCCCAAGGTTGTAACACTAAGGCTACAGGTTGGTGATACAACCCTACAACCTCCATCTATTCTGTTCAGCGTTCATGATCTGAGGAGCTCAAAGGGTGACCACACAACCAAAAGAAAAACAACAGCCCCATGTGGAAAATAAGAATTCAACTGAAGAAAACAATGTATATATGGCAGTGAGGGAGAAATAAAAAATAATGTTGAAAAAAAAATGGCGTAAGTTATCTCCCGCTGTTATAAAGAAAAGGGACACAATCCATGAGTCAGGGGACACAATCCGTGAGTCAGATCCCTCGGGCTATTTACCCCGTTCACTCCTTCATGTCCATAATCTCCTCCATGAGCTCCTTCTCCCAATCCTCCTCACTCCCCACGTCCTCATGCTGGTCCACCAGCTCTAGCACTGCAGGGGGAAAACCTGGCTCAGTCACGTGACTGGGGGTCATCGGTCACGTGACTGGGGGTCATCGTGACAGACGGCCAGTCACGTGACTTGTGGGCAATCACGTGACTCGTGCTCATCAGTCAGGTGACAGACAGCCAGTCACATGACTGGCCGTCTGAAATCAGTCATGTGACTGGTTGTCAGTCACCTGTTAGGCGGTCATCAGTCACATGACGACCAGTCATGTAAATGACAGTCGGTCAGACATGCAAACAGTGTTTCTTCTAGAAACTTTGGGGGGGGGGGGGTGGTGTCTCTACCCCCCGAAGATATGCCTGTAAGAAACTCTGCCATGCCAAAGTCAAACAAACGAAAATCAGGAATCTCAATGTATTACGTCAGGGCAGTGTTGTCTGACGGTACCAGCCTACGTTAGTCTAGCATTAGATGTTAGTGACGGTTACATCATAGAGAAAGGCAAGTATTAACAGCGCATGCGCAGTGTGTCGTGCCACACGGGGCTTACAACAACTTTCATGTAATATCATGTAATTTCATGTAGTCTCTGGTGGCCCTGAGCTAAGCTAAACTAGGAGCCAGCACATAGAGCCAGGCTGGTGTTATCATACAACCCCACCAGTCTCTGATGGCCCTGAGCTAAGCTAAACTAGGAGCCAGCACATAGAGCTAGGCTAGTGTTATCATACAACCCCACCAGTCTCTGATGGCCCTGAGTTAAGCTAAACTAGGAGCCAGCACATAGAGCCAGGCTGGTGTTATCATACAACCCCACCAGTCTCTGATGGCCCTGAGTTAAGCTAAACTAGGAGCCAGCACATAGAGCTAGGCTAGTGTTATCATACAACCCCACCAGTCTCTGATGGCCCTGAGTTAAGCTAAACTAGGAGCCAGCACATAGAGCCAGGCTGGTGTTATCATACAACCCCACCAGTCTCTGATGGCCCTGAGCTAAGCTAAACTAGGAGCCAGCACATAGAGCCAGGCTGGTGTTATCATACAACCCCACCAGTCTCTGATGGCCCTGAGCTAAACTAGAAGCCAGCACATAGAGCTAGGCTAGTGTTATCTACACATCACACAACAAACACCACCACAGAAAGCACAAAGCTCAAGCAAAACAAGAAAACTCAAGCATGCCTCTCTGTTCTAGAAGTTTCTCTTCTAATTCCTGCTTCCAGGCTCCTTCTGAAACTGTAAGGAGGGAGCACGTCAGGTGAAATGTGTGGGGTGAAATGTGTGGGGTGAAATGTGTGGGGTGAAATGTGTGGGGTGAAATGTGTGGGGTGAAATGTGTGGGGTGAAATGTGTGGGGTGAAATATATGTGTGGGTTGAAATATTTGTGTGGGGTGAATAATAGTTGCCTTTACCTTAACTATACTATGGTAAAACTTTTGATATTGCACAATCTATTTATCGATTCCACGTTTTTTTATACGTTAGTATCTTACCGTATGTGTGCGTGTGTTCTCTAGTGTGTGGGGGTGTTATTGTGTGGGTGGGTGTTATTGTGTGGGTGTGTTGTAGGGAAGGTGAGGGAAGAGGATCTCAGAATGAACACTACGGTGGGGGGAGGGGGTGACGGACATTTAAAGTTTTTTTAATATAAAATGCAACACAAAAAAGCACAACAAAATAAAACACAATCTGTCGTCGGCATCCTACACTTCCCCTTCTCATGACACCCAACGTCTGTCTATGGAAATAATGTTCAGCAAACTAACCTAGTCTAAGCTAGCCTAAGCTAGACAGCACATAGCACCCATTTTTGACATGGACACTCGTAGCAACCAATCCCAACCAGCAAAAATATATCAACCATTCACAGCTAGCCCAACCTTAGCCCCCCCCCCCCCCACCGTGACCCACGACCCCCCACCTGAGGTACTGACCTTCCTTGAGATCAGAGGCCACCCTGAGCTGCTGCTCCATCTCTTTACGGATGTCCTCCTCGTCGATCGTCTGCTCACCAAAGGCGTCGCTGACAAACTCGTCCTGGGTGGGGGCCGTGTCCACCATGGCCTCGTCGTTGTTGTGACCCCCGGGGGACTTGGCCTGTGGGGCGGCGTCTGTGGGCGGGACAAAAACAACAACTCTATAGTCACGTGATAACATACGTATATGATGAGAGAAACTCTATAGTCACGTGATAACATACGTATATGATGAGAGAAACTATATAGTCACGTGATAACATACGTATATGATGAGAGAAACTATATAGTCACGTGATAACATACGTATATGATGAGAGAAACTATATAGTCACGTGATAACATACGTATATGATGAGAGAAACTATATAGTCACGTGATAACATACATATGTGATGAGAGAAACTATATAGTCACGTGATAACATACATATGTGATGAGAGAAACTATACAGTCACGTGATAACATACATATGGGTTAAAGTGGTTTAACAGAGGTGTGAATTGTATGGCTGAGTTGAAGCCACGTTACTCGGCTCTTGGAATACATGGGGGTCTACTGAGTGAGATACGGTGGGGGGGGGGGGTCTAGGCCATTAGATGGGGGGCTAGACCACAGGGTATAGCAATAATATAAAGACTTAATGACTCATTAGCAATCAAGCAACCATTTGTCAAATAAAAAACAGAGTCGTTAGATTAAGTCAGGTTTATTATTAGCTGGACAACAACACAATGTAGAGTAGATGTGACCAGATTTATCATCAGCTAGACAACAACACCGTGTTTTCAACCTGCCCAGTCAACAAGCGTGTAGTGTGTGCAAACACTGAGGTCAGTGTGTCAACATAGACGTGTCACACACCAACTTGGCAAGGTTTCAAAGTAAAAACAAAAAAATTTCAAGAGGGGAAATTTTCCAACTCCGACAGGGATATGATGAAAGTAGGAAGTAATTCATTATGTGGCTTCATTACAGGCTGGCTACATTTAGATCAGGGTTTTGTCACTATGTCACAATGGGATAATGCTGTGTTTGGGATAGTATGTTGGGATATCAGAGATTATGTGTGACAACACTGGCAGTATTTCCCGAGTGTCCGTCGTGGCTTATGTGAGCACACATACATTCTTGTTAGATATGTCCATCTGTCTGGGCAGGGGGGGGGGGGGGGGGTGAGTACCTGTTGTGGTCAGGTCAGATAACAGTAACAGCCAGCTCATATTCTCTAGCAGTAAAAGATGACAAGTGCACCCAGTCTACATCTTCCTACGTCAGATGATTGTTTTTTTTTTTGCCCTACAGACATTCACAGACACACAGGAGACTGGACATAACACCCTGGGGACAAGTCACGTGATTAGAGACATCTAAACATGGGCCAAACACTTGAGGGTACATACCAGTAGAGGGGAGGGGTGTACGTGTGGGGTAGGTCTTGTTTGTCTAGTACAGACACATTGATCCAAATCTAACGACCTTGACCGTGTGGGCGCCAGGAATGTAGAGAGTACAACAAACAAAATTCACCGGCTGGGAAGGGAGGGGAGGAGGGGGAGGGGTAGGGTGAGAGGAAAGCCGCCAGAAGAGTAGAAGAAATGAAAACAAAAGAATGACGCAAGTGGCCAGAGGGTACCAGTGTGAGAACCGCCGTCCTAAAAACATTGTAGACCAATCCGGTGTTTAACGATTTTCACCGTCGTGTCGGTACATAGCACGACCTTCTTAAGGGAAGCCACTCTCGAGGACACAAAGTCTAAGACTATGGATGCTTAGCCAGAAGAAATCAAGCTGTTAAACGAACTTAAAAAACAACAACCATTAAACGTATTTTTAGCAGCACAAGTCGGTCGCGAAAAATAATTGCAAACATTTCTTGAGCGACCTACACTGTCACCGCTACCACATAATAAAATGTGTTTATTTTAGAATTTTAGTGCACTTATAAGATAGGTATAACAAAAGGTTTTTTATTGTAAATATTTTTTCACACTACCCAGGGGCTGTGAAAATACAAAAGGATGTTGATATTTCAGTTCTAAAAACCTTGAGTACCGCTGTATTTATTGGCGCTATTACTGACATAGGCATCAGACAAGAGCATCATCTGCCACATAGTGCCATGATGGCACTCACATATGTAAACAACAATCATGAAAACCAGCACACAACAATCATGAACCCCAGCACACAACAATCATGAACCCCAGCACACAACAATCATGAACCCCCGCACACAACAATCATGAACCCCAGCACACAACAATCATGAACCCCAGCACACAACAATCATGAACCCCAGCACACAATCATGAACCCCAGCACACAACAATCATGAACCCCAGCACACAACAATCATGAACCCCAGCACACAACAATCATGAACCCCAGCACACAACAATCATGAACCCCAGCACACAACAAGCATGAACCCCAGCACACAACAACCATGAACCCCAGCACACAACAATCATGAACACCAGCACACAACAATCATGAACACCAGCACACAACAACCATGAACCCCAGCACACAATCATGAACCCCAGCACACAACAATCATGAACCCCAGCACACAACAATCATGAACCCCAGCACATAACAATCATGAACCCCAGCACATAACAATCATGAACCCCAGCACATAACAATCATGAACCCCAGCACACAACAATCATGAACCCCAGCACACAACAATCATAAACCCCAGCACACAACAATCATGAACCCCAGCACACAACAATCATGAACCCCAGCACACAATCATGAACCCCAGCACACAACAATCATGAACCCCAGCACACAACAATCATGAACCCCAGCACACAACAAGCATGAACCCCAGCACACAACAATCATGAACCCCAGCACACAACAATCATGAACCCCAGCACACAACAAGCATGAACCCCAGCACACAACAATCATGAACCCCAGCACACAACAATCATGAACCCCAGCACACAACAATCATGAACCCCAGCACACAGCAATCATGAACCCCAGCACACAACAATCATGAACCCCAGCACACAACAATCATGAACCCCAGCACACAACAATCATGAACCCCAGCACACAACAATCATGAACCCCAGCACACAACAATCATGAACCCCAGCACACAACAATCATGAACCCCAGCACACAACAATCATGAACCCCAGCACACAACAATCATGAACCCCAGCACACAACAATCATGAACCCCAGCACACAACAATCATGAACCCCAGCACACAACAATCATGAACCCCAGCACAAAACAATCATGAACCCCAGCACACATCTGTAAGCAACGATTGTCAACCCCAGGTCAACTCCCTGCTAGCTAAGGCCTAATTTGTTACGTATGTTAATGTATGGAGGAATATGCTAATTAATATTTATTAATGACTATGTTAAATATTCTCTATTTGAACATTAATGTATTCACCCACATACAAAATAAAAAAAAATCATATTTTAAAAAGTTTCTCCTAAATATGTGTCCATTAGTTCACTTCATTTGTAATGTAATTTTGTGGTGGACATATGTAATGTATACAAGTTTGGGGAAGGGGGGAGGGGTAAAAACGTCCTAGATGTGCGTGCTATGGTCCCTTGTAATGAGCCTAATGAAGTCAACCTATCCTAATCTAGCTAGATTTAATCATGACATGAAGTAAACCTACTACAACCTGGCTAGGTTTGACCACGACCGTCTGATCCCCGTCAGGACAGGTCATGAGTGGTCAGACCACCGCCAGCCCTCCCCGCTCCCAGACCACCACGTGCTGGCCGGGTGAGCAGCTGGACACGAGATGGCGAGGTCACATGGGTTGCGCAACACCACGATCCGTCAATCACCCCCTCCCCGACCCCACCCTACCCATACCGCCGGCAGACAAAAGCCGTTATTTGAAGACAGTCTGTGTCAAGTGGCATGCGCGTGACATTTGAAAATGACACTTTTAAATGTCAGCTCAAGTAACCAAACAAGGCTGAAATTAAAATGCCAACAATGTATGGGGGCATGGTGACATCACCAGTGACAGGTGTCTGGGTAGGTGAAGTAGAGTTGGGCTGTAGGACGCCTTGACGATGTGGGGCCAGAACTTCTGTTCTCTAGATCTTATGTGAGATGGTCTTCACTAGAGTTACTCGCCTTGTCCACGTCTTGAGACGATTTACCTCCCTTGTATGGGTCCTGACACCAGTGACAAGCCGTGTCTATGTTCTCTAACTACCGGTCTTTTATCTGCATTGTTGTCACTTGACTTACTTTACAGTTTTAGCTGTATCAATCTTGAATTATTCCCACCTACTATGGCTGAATCGTGAATGATTCCCACCTACTATGGCTGAATCGTGAATGATTCCCACCTACTATGGCTGAATCGTGAATGATTCCCACCTACTATGGCTGTATCTTGAATGATTCCCACCTACTATAGCTGTATCTTGAATGATTCCCACCTACTATGGCTGTATCTTGAATGATTCCCACCTACTATGGCTGTATCTTGAATGATTCCCACCTACTATAGCTGTATCTTGAATGATTCCCACCTACTATGGCTGTATCTTGAATGATTCCCACCTACTATGGCTGTATCTTGAATGATTCCCACCTACTATAGCTGTATCTTGAATGATTCCCACCAACTATAGCTGTATCTTGAATGATTCCCACTCTCGCAAGGCATGCTTTAGACTGGAATCCCCAGGGAAAAAGGAGGGTGGGCCGGCCAAGGAAGACATGGAGAAGAACGGTTGAAGAAGAGCCGAAAACAGCTGGGCTCACATGGGCACAGATAAAGAGGGCAGCCCAAAACCGAGTCCGCTGGAGATGTGTGGTTGCAGCCCTTTGCTCCCCAGGGGCCACAAAGGAATGATGATGATGATGATGATGATGATGATAGCTGTATCTCGAGTGAGCAACCACTAGATCACCGAGTGAGCGACCACTAGATCACCGAGTGAGCGACCACTAGATCACCGAGTGAGCGACCACTAGATCACCGAGTGAGCGACCACTAGATCACCGAGTGAGCGACCACTAGATCACCGAGTGAGCGACCACTAGATCACCGAGTGAGCGACCACTAGATCACCGAGTGAGCGACCACTAGATCACCGAGTGAGCGACCACT